TAAATATTCTCATAAAGAATCTATTGAAGTTGTAAATATTCTCATAAAAGTGGTAAATAATCCATTGAAGTTGTATATCTTCTTGGATTAGTTGTTAAATATTCATATATTTAGCACACATATGTGTGTAATAATCGATCAATCATATTTAATGATCGATCATGGACTATTAAATATTGTAAAAATTACCATTAAATTAGTAAATACTGCTCCCCATTAGTAATTTTGTTCTCAAAACTAGTATATCTTCTTCGATTACTTGTAAATTATTTACAAATTAAATACAACTCTCGTAAAAAAAACATTCACAACTCTCGTAAAAAAATTGACAACTTTTGTAATTATTACCTTCATTATAATACAAAACCTTTAATATAGTAATTATTTACACAAATGTGATAAACAATTTACTGAAATTGTAAATTTTCTCATAAATGTCGTAAAAAATTCATTGAAATTGTAAATAATTTCATAAAGTTAATAAACATACCACTAAGATTGTAAATATTCTCACAAAATTGGTAAATATATCACTGAAATTGTAAATATTCTTACAAATTTGATAAATATACTGAAGTTATAAATATTCTCTTCATTATGGTAACAAAGTTACTAGTAATCATAATGTACTATCTGACCTGTCATTTCAATGTCTTGTTTTGTCTACCAATCGGTATCTAACAAGTAATCAATTAAAGTTGTAAATAATCCCATAAATTTAATAAACATACAATTGAAATTATAATTATTTCCACAAATTTAAAAATTTCGGTATGGTGCCAAAAATTCTCTTGGATCTACCGTAGTTTACTCCTGGGTTTGTAGGAATAATTTATTTTCCAATATGCAATAATCACAAAAGGTTCTGGCATGTGTTATTTGGGTCGTTACACGACACACTCGGATGACTAAGATTGGTACCCAATACTAAGATGGGAATATTTGGACCAAAATAAATGTCCGTCGTTAGGGCGATAATCCTGTCATATCGAATGTGTTCATGTTATGTCATTTATACCTTCGTGTTGAGTATTAGTTAATTTTAATTCAATTTATTTAATTAATTATGTTATGTTGATTTGATTTGATTTGATTTTTTATATTGTATTCGTATTGATCCATATAAGCATGAATAAAAAAATATATAACACTAACATTTAAGCACATTGGTACTTTTTCTATATACTAAACACTACTTTAATAAATATAATAACAAATATGAGTAAAAACATTTTTTTTTTATAAGAATTATGTCAATAATTAATAATAAAAAAAAAAGTGAAATGGAGGAAAATTGGTCTCTAATGCTTTTTGAAAGAGTTTCATAAACCATGAAATTCTTTGATTTATCAATCAAGACCTCATGTGTAAATACATCTCCACAAAACCGAGTTGTAAAATGAAAAAATCGTCATCTCCCGAAAGTTGTTGAGGACTCCTATGGAGAAAGAAAGTTCCTTATTATGATCCATAATCAAGTCTGATGCCTTAATTTAATGATGACTGGTTATATAAGTAAGAAGACGATGACTCCTATTAATTGTGAGCGGTCTCCTCTACATGTTATATTTGGACGTTTTACTCTTTTTCAAACAGCAGACTATTCATATCTTTCGTGTTATTTGTGTTTGACACTAACTCGATCTATTTATTATTCGTGTTCACAAGTTTTGTCACTTATAGATTCATATCGAGAAATGATTAATTCTAGAGCAATGTTACATAGACTTAAAAAATAGATTTAAAAACTAAACTTGATAATTATAACCATTGATTTCACCGTGGGCCGCAGAATTTATTGAGACTCATTACCTATTCAATAGTTGAGATTATCAAGTTTAATTTTTAAGTCCATCTAACATTACTCTTAATTCTAATCTGTTAATATCATATCGATTTTCAGTTGTATTTTTGTGTCGCCTCATAAATTATCACTCTTACATACAATCTTCATGGGAAATCTTTCTACCAATAACAATAAGTTAGATCATATATGATTTTAAAATTGTTCTAATGAATAAGTTTTATCTTTTCTCTCGCATGCAGAGAATGGAGAGATTAAGTTAACATGAGTAGCTATATATTTATTTACAGTAATATTATTTAAACTTAAAATTTTAATTTAATTTAATTTATTGATTTAATGATGTAATTTTATTATAATCATTTAATTAACAAAAAATTTAAATATATATAATAAAATAGATTAATATTCAAATCTCAAAAGATAAACAAAATGACTTTTGCTATTCGTGGTTAAAATCGTTTTAAATTTTATTTTAAAGTTAATTTAACAGCAAATATTAATACCCTAAATTTAATAAGAAAAATAGGCCTCTAAAGGTGTTTTGAGTGACTTTTCAAAAATATTTCTAAAAATTATTTCTCATATATGCTTTAAAAAAAATAGTGTTTGAAACCGCTCTGCCACTACCTCTACCACTACCACCCTCATCACTATCTCTATCACCACCACCCCTATCACTACCTCTACCACCACCACCATCGCCGCCACTGCCGCTACCACGATCATTGTCACCCACCATAACCATCACCGTCTCTTACCACCACCACTATCGCCCACCCACCTCTCACCCCCACTATAAATCGATGCTTAAATTTTTTCATCTCTTCTCTATGTTTGTGATTTAATTTAGGATGTGAATGTAAATATATTTATTGTTTACCATTTTTTATTACTCTGTACCTTTAAACACAGACAATAACTAGTATTTGATATGACCCACCATTAATCTAATAATTATAATAAATTAAATCAATAAATTAAATTTCAATAACTTTATTTATGTGACAATCGAATTTAGGCAATCCTAGAAAACCAATGAACTTCATGATTCAAGGATGGGCAGATCCTGTGAATTGGTTCAAGTATAATGAAGGCCCATTTATCGTCTAACCTGACCATGCTCACCCGTCTAACACATGACAGGAAACCTATTCAACAAATTTAAGTTTTTTTATCTTTATTTTGTGTGGTAGAAGGCTTTAACTATTCGAACATGTTTTACAAATAGTTAAAGCCTGAAAACTCTCGATTTTTCTAAATATATCTTTTCGCTCCCTCATCACAGTTGTTCCCACAACCTCAACCGCCATGGTGCTGCCAATTTTACAATCACCATCGTCACTACTATTATCACCTTCTACCACTATTTCACCATGACGATTACCACCACTCGATCGCTATCAAGACCACCATCACCAACATAGTGTAAGCAACTACGATGTTGGGGGGTTGTGCCAACGGTGGTGGAGTAGCAACAACAATAATAGTGACATAATCTTCTTGGATATTCACAGACTCCTTAGAACAACAATGGATGAAATCCATTCAGAAAGAGTCCTCATTACAAGATGCAAGAACCTTTTATCCCTGCTCAACATTCCCATCCTTCATATCCATAGAGAAGGCAATTTTTGTGCTTACAAGCTTGCAAACATGGGAGTTCAGAACCAGGTTTAGATGGTGATCCTCAATTTTTCCCCTAACCCTTTAGGGGACCTTCTTAGATATGACTGTGCTAGTACCTCTTATTTTAGAGAATTTAGGTAATTTCTTTTAACTTTTTAATGTACCAAGGAAAAAAAAAAAAGATAATAGTGACATAATTTGTGATGACGATAGAATTTATTGTGGTCATAAATGAGGGGGATGTGAAAATAATAACAGCGTGGTGGCAATGACCTCCTGGCAACTTGAGAGTGTTGGTGGTGGCGACGATGACAACGATGGCTATAGTAACAGTGATGGTGATGCAAATGCAAATAGGGTATAATGGTACCGACAATAGTGGTATTATTAAATTAGCTTATACAATACCACGGATTTGTTGAATGTCTGGCTGGCCCATATTTCCCTTCTTTGGGTGGTGAGTTTTGGGCCTGGTATTAACTGATAATTTTTTCAAAGCCCAAATCTAATTGTGGATATCAGGAAGTTTACTTATTTCCCTTCTTTGATAATTTTTTCAAAGTCCTGAAACAGGATTAGTACTACATAATTACTATTTTACCCACCAACTATCTTTACTTTGTCTTTTATTTAAATACTAGTTATTGTATTGTCTGTGCCTGAAGACACATAATAATAAAAAATAGTAAATAATAAGTATATTTGTATTCATATTCAAAATTAAATCGTAAACATAGAAAAAAAATAAAAAAATTTAAATATAATTTTGTAATGGGGGTGAGAGATAGTGGACGGTAGTTATGGTGGTAGGAGATAATAATAATCGTGGTGGTGGTAGTGGCGATAATGGTGGTGACAACAACGACAGCAATGGTGGCGGCGGCAAGGCGAATGGTGGTAGTGGCAGTGGTGGGGGTGGAGATAGAGGTGGTGGCAATAGTGGGGGTGACGGTGACGGTGACGGTGGCATCAGCAGTGATGGTGGTGGAGGTGGAGGTGGCAGTGGCAGTGGTACTGGTGGGGGGTGGCGGTGGCGGTGGCGGTGGCAGTGGTGGTGGTAGAGGTAGTGGTGAAGCGGTTCAAAACAATATATATTTTTTTAAAGTACTTATGAAAAATAATTCCTAAAAACATTTATAAAAAATTATTTCAAACACACTTTTAAGACCCTATTTTTTTTTTATTAAATTTGGTGTTTTAATATTAGCTGTTAGATCAATTTTAAAGTAAAATTTAAAACGATTTCAACCGTGAATAACAAAAATTATTTTATTTATCTTTTGAAATTTGAATCGTAAGCTATTTTATTATTTATCTTTTGAAATTTAAATCGTAAGTTATTTTATTATATAGATTAAAAGCATGATAATCTAGATCATGAATAATAAATCTTTCTAAATTCTTTTACTTTTATTTTTTTGTCTAAGTTCGATTATAACCCTTCAAATGATTCCATTGGAATCAAAGGTTTGAAATCCATTCACAGGATCGATCCCTATAATTACTGCTAATCCAATGCTTCTTACTCCACTTTTTTTATCACGGGCTGCCGGTAAAAGGTGAGATAATGAGGGAGGTATCCTCATGCAAGAAACCTAGCTGGTGTCTTCGAAGATGTGGTGGGGGTATTGTAGTCAAAAGTCATCCAACCACAATGTTTAGGATTTGATACTCTTATCCAGTCCGATCAAAATAAAATATGAATCCAAACATGCCCTAAATTATTCCGAGTCTTCCGACAAAGTCATATGGCTTTCAAGGCTTTTATATTAGTTTCTGATCTTATCCACAGAACCAACCACCTAATTAGTTTCTAACCTTCTCTCTCTCTCTCTCTCTCTCTCTCATTTTTCCTCTCAACTTCTTGAGCTCTCCGCCCTGAATCAACTACACCAATGGCTCGTGGATCCTCTCAATCCCAATCCTCCACCTCCGCATCCGCCACCGCCACCTCCCGTCCTGGACCCATCGGCTTGGCCACACGCGGCTCAGCTGCCGCTACCGCCGGCATGCGCCGAAGGCGCCTTGGCTCTTCTTCCTCCGGCGGGTCCGGCGGGGTCAGCGGAGGCACCTCCGGTGGCAACATGCTTCGATTCTACACCGACGACGCCCCTGGCCTCAAGATCACCCCCACCGTCGTCCTCGTCATGAGCGTATGCTTCATAGGTTTCGTCACCGCGTTACACGTCTTCGGCAAGCTCTATCGGTATCGATCCGGAGCCGGAGCTTAAAATTCGGACAGATCTTGACCGGAGCTTTCGCATAGAAACGTGCTTCGGTAACTCAATGCACCAAGAATCTATAAGCTCTTTTCCCTAGCTTTTCAAGAAAGAGAGAGATAACGAACATCCTAGTTTCTGAGTGAAATTTTCCATTTGCTTTTTGGAATTTGAATCCTATATTGCTTCATAATGATGCAATTTTGTTAATATATGCGATCTATGTAGTTCAATGTTCTTTTATTGCGGCAGAACAATCTTTTTCTCCATATTTTTCGTGCGCGTCATTTCTTGATAGTGCTTGCGAAATTTAATCCTGAATTTTTCATTCATATGGAAATTTACATAAAAAATTAGAGTCAGACCGCTGTACTTATTCTGACTTGAAAGGCTCTGTATATGGCGTTAATGCTATAGAATTACACATTCTGTATGCATCTACTGGTGATCAGTGGGAAGGAGTAGGATCATATCACAAAGTGCACGTGTTTTTAGGGGACTAAATAACGATATAATGTTAGATTTCTGATTCCGCCCTCAGTGAAATACTGCCTCTGTATCTGTGAAGTATGAGGCTCGAATTGATTGAAAGAAATCCTCCTTATCGTGTAGTGCTAATAAGTGATTACTAATGAATCATGGATGATGAAGAGGCTGAGATCATTTGACATATCGGCTGAGATTGGTTTTCTTTCGTATTACATTTCAAGCTGAATAACATTTTTCTCAGCTATATTTGTTTTTTATTTTTTACTTTTTGTTTGCAACAAAAAACTTTCTGGAAATTGGTCAGTGTCCATAGATATCTGGTCATGAGCCATATGATTAAGTTACAGCAAGTATACCTGGCATTGTTCTAATTGCTTTTATATGTGGCTGCGTTAGTGTTCATATTGAACGTGCCCTCAGCAGCTTTTGTGGCAGTTTTCCCTTCTTGTTGGGGTCTCGAGTACACATCAGGAGAGGGGGAAAAAACTGCCACCATTGGGGCTTGGGGTCGAGAATTTTCTGCAGGGGTTGGCCTTATATGGCTACTAGTGTGCCCTCTTTGGAACGTTGAAGTGCACTCTGGTGACATGCTTCCATGCAAGCTTGATTTCTAGGGGTTTTTTTGTTCTCGATTAGTTGGGTTTGGCTCAAAATAAGGTCTTTTGGTGATTTAAATACTGATAGGAAGACATACATGGACTTGGTAATATTGTGGATTTATAGTCAGACTGCAAAGGCAAACAAGTTCTTTTACATGGACAGTCCAGTTCTTATCTTAAATTCTACCATTCTTATGTGATTAGCTAGCATTGAGGTGAAATTTGATGTAGGAGCAGAGTTGAGGATAAGAGGAAAGGGATTAGAGTCTAACGAATGAGAAGAAACAAGAGAGGAAGAGAGAGGGTTAAAAGACAAGAAGAGATAAGAAGGAGAGGAAGAAGGAGAGAAAGGGGAAAGAGAAACACGTGCTAGAGAAAGATTGAAATGTATTATTGCAATATTCCAGTAGTCAAAGCTGTTTTACTTTCCACGAGGCACATGTATATATAGGGAGTACCTAAAAAATAAAACAATAGCGTACAAAATAACTTGATCCTAATATTAAGAGATTGCAAAAAGATAATACCAAAGGTTTCCTAATATTAATGATTTAAAAATCCTCTGAGCCGTTTAAGCTTCAATTTCAAGCGTTGATCGATTAAGTGGTTTTTTTTGTTGTTTTCCTTTGAAAGTGGAATTACAAACATGGTGCATGTAAGGTCGTTTATCACTTGGACTATGTCTACCATGTCACCTAGCTGCTTAATATTGCCTTAACATATGTATGTTACTTTTTTTTCAAGATAGATGATTGCTTGCTTATCATGCTGTAACAAGTATATTGGCTTTGATGTATGGATGGGATGATGTTGGTGCAACTCTGGTCATGGATGGTTTGTTGCCTTTTTATAATGCCTCAGCAGAATGCTGCCATTATGTGGAAAATTTCCATGCCATACTCCGAGTAATTGCCTCGGTGTATATAAAAGAGTATGTTGTCTTGTTACATAGTTGCAAAAATGCCTTATTGTCTCTACTCTCCACTGATCGTGGCTATAATGCAATAAAACTTTCACTCTGCTGCTATCTATGGAAACTACCATGCTGTACTGATACATATACTCTAGATAGAATGTTGGCACAAGAGGTGGTGTGATTATCTCAAAACTACCATGCTACCTCAGTATATGGTCTCATATGACTGCATGCTACCTTGTTTCCTTGGCAAATGCTTTATTAGCTTGTGAGTCCTCAACTGTTTGTTGTTCTGATGTATGGTTTGAGAGGTTTTGAAACATAATGTTATTTAGGTGGAAAGCCATTTCAGGACTTGACACATTGGTATTGTCGATAGTTGTCTTGATATCTGAGCTTCAATGTGTTGACTGTGTTTGCCTGGACATAATGTTGGGACATTTGATTACTTTGTTGCCTCATTTCACAGTTGTCCCAGGGCAAGAAACTACGAATTTACTAGGTAAATTGCTGTGTCTTGTGATATTGCATTAGGCAGTTCTGGCTTCAGTATAAAGAAGCTGCCTTACTTTCTTAATGTATACAAGTCCATTTTGCAACCTTAAGACATCTTCTTGTCATACTATTTATAGTGGCTGGGGCATTAAGTTTATTTGTTGGTGTGCCTTTTATAGCTGCCTTGTCGTTATGATTCAATCATAGGATGTGGTTGTAGTGCACAGAATTAGTCACGTTCTTTCAGCGAGAGGTTGCCATTATAGATGCAATGTCGTGTTGCTCAGTTGCCATGGATACCTTGTTACCTGAATTCATGTATATTTGTTATTTCGAGAATCATTGATTAGCCACCAAGCATGATGTGGAAGCAAGTATATCCTTCACATCATGTTAGCTGAATGACTCCTTTATGAATTCTTGCCTCTTCCCTCACCCCTCCGTCTGGACCCTATTTTTCTTTCCACCTCGAGAAAAAGAGAGAGGGGAAAAAAGAAAAAGAGATACTTTAGAAGATGATGAGGGGTTAATCACCTCTGTCGAAAGGTGTGTGTTACAAATACGTTTAGATACTTCCGTACATCTATGGAGATTGCTAGATTAGGTGAAAAAAATAAGATCAAAGTTCTCCAAAAAGCAGTGACTAGTTTACGGGTTATTCCTCTATCCTTTTGAAAATGTGACTTTTTATAACAGTGTAAGCCAAATCAGTTAAAACCAATCAAATGAGGTTTTTCATCAGTTGTAGGAAATTTCAATAACTGTTTTATGTGTTGGGTGACTAAATAAACTGGTCGGCGAACTGGTTGCTAGGAACTGTTATTTAACTTCAGAGATTTGATTTTGTGTTTTTTTTTTTCCTTCGTTACTGTTTAGATGATGCATTTTTCTTTATAATCTTGTACCGATGGGATTGTCTCTTGACGGCTAGTCCCCTCGGGGCCATGACATGCACAAATGGAGAAATGGGATTGTGTTTTTAAGACTTTAACCTTCTTGTGGATGTCAAGAAGAGGGAATAAAACAAAGAATCCAATGGATCTTTCTGTTGATTAACTGGGAAAACCTACGCTGATAAAATTACGAAAATTGTTGTTTGGATTTATTTTGGACAACTAATCTAATGACTTTATTGAATTAAGTTGTTTTAAAATTAACTCCCCGTAGCATTGCTCTCTAATTATATTTGAAGAATCTTTCCAGTTGTAAGTAGGTTGATTACATGATTCTTTTCCAAGTCATGCTGTGTTGATTTACAAGCATGCACTTGTGAGTGGGTGTGTACATCTCGGAACGGTACAGTTTTTTTGATTCACATTTAATCACTTATTTTAACAGAGTAAGGGCTAAATAAAAATTTATAAACACACTCATACACCCGAAACTATTCGATGTGGGATAACCCAGTCCCCCACCTCCCGGTACAATTGGAGGTGGTGGTGGTTAAGCAAAGCAGCTTTCGTTATGTAAAAGAGACCAAATCAATGTAACCAATCACAGGTATGAATGAGTGTCCCCTAGGCCCTATTGGACGAAATCACCACAAATATCCCAACCACCACCTTCAAATTCTGAACAAAGTCAACCCATTGCACCCCGAATGGAGAAAGTTTTGAAATCGTCAATCCCCAATCAAATTCAAACATTAAAATTGGAAATTTTAAAAGTGGAAGGGGAGAGAAAGTTGGGGGTTTGTGACGGCAAGTAAGGGGGGAGGGACTCAACTGGGGGAGAATGGGAATTTATTGTTTCATTAGGGATTGGGCTCGAGGAGATGGATGGGAGAGTTATGTATACTCAATTAAACTCAGTAAAGTCTTATCTTAACATTTTTGAAATTAGTTACATGAATTTTGTTATCGCTATTAAACTCAATTAAAGGCAATGGTTTTTGAGTAGGGCATTGGGAGTTGATGGGGGTTATATTAGGGGATTTGTTGGGAGGGTGTTTTGGTTGTGGGTTTTGTATTTTTTTTTTTTTGGGAGGGGGGGGGGGGGGATTGGGTATGTTTGATAGTAAGTTTATGTATCCCATCCCATGTGCATATTGACTTCTTCAAAATTTTTCAATTAAAGGTTGCAATGTTATTTTTCATATTCGCGATTTTGTTGGGTTAGCTAAGAAAATTTGGGAGATCTTATGTGTAATTAAGCCTAAAGAATTTGTAATGCATAATCAGTACACTAATGCTGCACCCAGTATTTTGTACACTATCTATGTACACCACTTATATATGAACTATTAAATTAAAGTGTTTCATTGAGATTATTATATATTTCATGATTATCATTGTGTCAAATTATAAGATTTTGAATTTATTTTTATATCTATTACTACTATTAAGGGCGAGTTTAGCGTTCATATGTAAAATACCTATAGTACCCTTCTTTTTTTTTTTTCCTTTCCATCTTAATCAATCATGACCCCTTTCC